GCCATTCGAGAGCGAGCTTCGCGGACTCTGCCGCGCTGATCACTCAGGAAGTGTGTCTAGCCCTAAACCCTAAACCCTAAACCCTAAACCCTAAACCCTAAACCCTAAGCCTAAACTCTCAGAACCACATGACATGGGCTGCTGCTCCCGCGCCTGGTCGATGACCAGCTCGGCCAGGTCTCGGAAGATCCGGTTGAGCTCCTGGGCCGCTTTCTGAGGGGGGAGGGGGGGGGGGGGGGTTAGTTTTTAGGGTTAAGGGTTAAGGGTTTTGGGTTTAGGGTTGAGGGTTTAGGGTTTAGGGTTGAGGGCTTTGGGGGTTGGCAGGGGTGGCAAGTTTCGAGACGGTCCTGACAAGGAAAAGGAAACATGAAACAAGTGTAAAGGTAAAATGGGGGTTCAGTCAAAGGTGCCTAGGGTTGAGGCTTTCTGGGAGGACGATCGACAGCGGGTGTTCTCGTGACTGTTCCGGTCTCCAGGCCCCGAACCGTCGAAACATCTAGAATCTAAAGATTACGGCCTAGGGCTGAATACTCCGAAGCCCCCAAACCCAGTCCCTAAGCCCGACACCCGGAAGTGAAACTGCAAATGGCCGCCCAGGGCACGACCACAGAGGAGGCGATCTGCGCGATATCACTGCTCCGCTGTGCGGCTATGGCCTCGATTTCGTGGCTCCGCAAGATTCGGGCTGAAGGTTTAGGGTTTAGGGTTTAGGGTTTAAGGTTCCCCACCCCCCAAATAAGCCCCAAGTTCCAAGCCCTCATCGCCCTTTGACTGCTCTTAAGTTTGACGAGGCTTTACTTGGGGCCTTGTTTCGGGTTTTTGGGTAAATTGGGGTTGGGATAAAATCCCGTGACGGCTTTGGAACCCTAGACGAAGGGTAGTTCTTCTGAGGCTTGGGGCTGAGAAGAGACGAAGCCCTGCATCGTTGCAAAGCCTAGGGTTAAAGTTCTTCTGTTCTGGCACAATGGCTTTTAGGGTTTCCGTCTGGGCCCTCAGCGACAACTGAAAGCCCTAAGCCCTAAACCAGTCACGGATATGTAGGGCCTATACGTTTAGTGAGTGGGATGTGCCCCCTTTTTCGAACAGTCCTTAATCGGAACTAGAATAGAGGCCGCTATAATCCCTATTAAGGACTGTTAGTATAAGGGAGACCATCCCACTTTAGAGAGACAGATACCTTGCCCCCCGCTGCCCCCCCTAGCAGACGACACTTGGCTTGGGATAGAGGAGATTCCAGCGACTATGATGAGGGACTTCTCTTGATATCACCACTCATCTTTTGCACACCATCTCCTTAGAGGGATCCCCAACGAGGAACCCTGGGGTTGACCCCCGCAAAACGCCTCCATCTCATCCAGCTCGTCCAGCTGCTGCTGCATCTGAACTGGGGCCTGGCTCTTGGGGTTTTTTGAGGCTGTTTGGGGTTGAGGGTTGAGGGTTTAGGGTTTGGGGCAGGTCAGGATTCGGTCCGAAGGTCTGTCATCTGAGGCTAGCAGGATTCCTGGTTTAGGGTTTAGGGCTATAGAGTTTAGCGTTGGGTGTTTAGGGTGGAGTTCGCAGCTGAGGCTGAAAGGAAGAAACATTCTGGAGCCTTCGAAAGCTTCCATCTTCCGGCATACCTAGGCTTGCCTCAACATCGAAGACTTCATGCAGCCCCTCGGCGCCAAGAAAACACCTTCAACTACATCAGCGGGCAGCGGCAGGGTTGAGAGCTGACGACCATATTTAAGGGTCTAGGGCATCTAGCAATGAGGGCCCACAACCCGAGAACCCGAAGCCCTATAAACCTTGTAAACATCCTTCAACCCTTAACCACCGAACGAAGCCTACACCCCTTTTCCACGCAGTCCCAGGCGCAGCGGAGGACAGTGGCGGCCCCCCGTAGCCGCTGGGGTCCTCTGCGGCGGCCGCGGAAGCGGCTGCGGAAGCGGCAGCAGCGCTCGACGCTTCGTTCCTTCTGGGGCTTCGGGGTTTGGGTTTTGGGTGCCAGGTTGTGTGGCTTAGGAATTCAAGGTCTTTTAAGATTGATGGTTGTTTAACGTTCATGGTAAGGGTGACCCTGGACACTATTGTCACTATTGTTATTCCTGGGCCTCTGGTTTCGTCCGACCCGGTCCAAAATAGTTGCAGGTTTCAGGAGCTTCCACTTCGAAGCGGGCAGAGGCTTCAGGGCTCAATCGCTCACATCTCAGACCGGCCGGGCGAGGATTCACTATCTCGAGTCTCTACGTCTTCGCGAAACTTCGATTTAATTTGGACTTCCACCTAGATGGAAGAACCACGCTGCAGTGGGTATGACTATGGCGAGGAAAAAGCACAGGCATGTACAAAAGGAACGCAAGCCCTACCCCTGACGGGGCCGCAAGGGAGGGGGCTTCAAGGCAAACGCATGAAGCCCGGGGCCAAGATTCTGGGTTTGGGGTTTCCGAAACGTCCGAGGCTTTTTGTAGGGTTTGGGAAAGTTTGGGGTTCAGGGTGAACTTCAGGGATTGGTGGCGTGGCCCAGGATGCACAAAAGGGGGCGCGAAACCTTCGGAAGAAAGTTTGGCAAAGCCGCAGCTGCTTCCAAGAATCCGGCCCTTCAGCTGCGTGATGTACTCCTCGGCGCCGTCGACTATGTATAGTACATGTTATCATATACACGATCTTATATCTGCTATTTACCGTGCATTTTTCCTAAATGCTACGTACTACTTGAATCACTGCTAAGGTTACCTCTGCTAATTCTGTTTCATGGTTTCGTCTCTTCTTAATTTTAGCATCTTCGTGTGGCCTGCATATGACTCAAGGGCCCAAAGCATGATCTCTTGCAATGATTTTGTTCTTCTGGGTAGTTCTCGGAAATAAGGTCGATCTTCTTTTAAGGGTGCCGTACTATATAGGGGGACCGAACAGGGGCCCTAATTTCGAGAACTACGCTCTTTCGTGTTGTTCCTGGGGAGTTGGAGGTCTAGCTCGGCACAAGGCCTTTGACTTGAGGCTCCTAGCCTGGCGGTTTAGGGTCTGGCACTTTTAAGGCTGAAGTGGGTTTGGGGTTTGTAGGGTTTTTTCGGGTTTAAGGCACTCATAAGACAGGATTCAATCAAGAAAGGTGAGCGAAAACGGATTCTTCGGCAAACTACAGCAAAGATGGCTTTGCGGTTCTTCACATATGTATATATATATATATGTATATTTGCTCATATGTGTATATATATATATATATATCGAGCAGAAAATGAACGCAAACAAAGCGGTCAGCAAGCTGACATAGGGTGCCTTCTGCAGCTCCCGGCATCGCTTGGAGAGCTGCTGGAGCTGGGATGCCAGGTTCCTCTTGTGGGGGGGCTGCCGGGGCTTCTGGGAGAACCTAAATGCCACATGTCAGGGTTTAGGGTTTAGGGTTTAGGGTTTAGGGTTTAGGGTTTAGGGTTTAGGGTTTAGGGTTTAGGGTTTGGGGTTTGGGGTTTGGGGTTTAGGGTTTTTTTTGCCACCCGCTTAGCTGACCTCTCGGACACTCTGCAGGGAATTGGCGGTTAAATACTGGGTGTCAAAAAACGGGCTTTCGTCTAGGATTAGGGTTTAGGGTTTAGGGTTTAGGGTTTAGGGTTTAGGGTTTAGGGTTTAGGGTCATCTCAGAACTTCAGAGCGAAGATTGCAACAAGCGGAAGCCAAGGCGAGAGCCAGCGAAACAAAAGCGGACCCATGATAAACAGCTGCCTGAAGCGCCTCGGACATGGGGCCTTGTCGTGATGCACACCTGGATCATAGCAACCACAACTCACCTCATAGGCGCATTCATCCCGGCTAAAAGCATGGTTCAGGCCCAAGGCCGTAGATGACGTTGATTTGGGATCCAGAATCCAGAGACAATGGGTGCAACAGCACGCAGAAGGTAACTTGGCCACGATGACGACCTGCTGCGGTCCTCTGCATGTTCTGGCGGAACTCGTCGTCCAGCAAGCCTGGCACAAATCTTGATCTTGAGATCACTAAAATTCTCCTGGAGAAAAAGAGCCGCTGGTCACGCTGTCCCGCAACCCCAGGTCAAAGCAGTCCATGAGGGACGCGGCTCGGGAGTTTTGAGACATTGGGGGCTTCAAGCTGTTCCCGACCCCGCCTTCCTTCTTCCGCCCGATGTGGCGAATCTGGTGTATGGTCTGCTCGCAAACTCGGATCTGAGTTGCGACGTTGCCCGAAATGGCCTCCACGGGCATCAGGGACACACCCCACAGCCGTACCAAAACCGGCATCTACGTGCATACGTCGGCGACTTTCAGGGGTCACGGGTTGAGGGATTTAGGGTCTCCAAAGCCCATGGTTCTGCGCATTTTTGAGCTCACGGCATGGCTTGCTGAACCCATCTCCCTTAGTGGCCCCCATGGCCTCGACCTCACGCTCCCGGCTGCGGCATTGCGCAGTGTCCTCCAGCATCGGCTGCAAGACAAAGCGCAAGTACGCCCAACCAAGGGGCAGCAGGAATCCAGCCCCCAATAGGCCAAGCTCTCGTTGACCCTACACGAGCCAACGCCCAACACCTGGAGCCCGAAAGCTACATATGCATACCCTTTTTCTGAATCTTGAAGCTACCCGACACCCTAAACCCTGCCAAAACCACTTCGGTCCTCGGGCAGCGCGAGGCGGGCTTGGTGGGCCGCCACGAGCTTCCTGAACAAGGCTACCCTACCTTCCGGAGAATCTTCATTTTTTGTCATGCGGCCTCAGGACCGCCCCAAAAAAGCATTGTCCAGGAATTAGGATGTAGGATTTTGAGGGCTTAGGGCTTAGGGCTCAAAGCCACTGCATTAACTCTGAAAACCGGGTGTAGGTTGCTTTGAGATGTAGGGTTCTGGTCGGCCGTGGCTTTGGCTTTGAAGGCGTTTGGCATGGCGATGTCTGGGGATGCTCGAGCGGGCACATGCGGGTGGCATGCGCATGCATCCATTTGCCATGATCCTTCGCCAAGCACGAGATGACGCTTGTCAGGCTAGATGCAGTACCAAAGCGGATCTCCCCAGTATTCAGCATGGTAGCCTGGGTTTAGGGAAATCCTGTTCCCCGCTGTCTCCAACCTGTCTTTCGAACACCCGGTGTTTCCAAAGACTTTGAAGCTCAGAAGCCCCGAATTCCAACCTCACAACCTCGCACAGATGTTCTCCTCCGAGAAGCTGCTGAAGGTTCTGGAGCAGCTGTGCCAACTCCACAGGGCTTCTCAGCTCCAGGATCGCCTGCCCTTGGGGCCACAGCTGTAACACAGGCTTCTTCTCTGCTGTCAGGTGCACCAGAAGCCATCCACGTGCATCCGTCACGATTGCCAAGAGGGGTGCTGTCGGTGTCGCGGACAGGAAGCCGGCCAAGACCGCGCAGCTTTGGGCCATGGCGGCGACGAAGAGAGCGTGCCTGGCTTCTGCGCTTACGCTGGGGCCGAGGCAGCGCTTCGCTTCAACAATGGCGATGGGCGAGTTGCCGTCGAACAGCGCGTAGTCGGCTTTCCCAGCAAAGGGAGACGATTCGGGAAGAGGCACTTCGGCCGCCAGACGCAGCGCGTGTCTTCGGCAGAAGTGGACCAAGATGAGGTCCAGCACCATCCGCACTTGCGCCTCGTTTCCGTGGAAGTCGGAATTGAGGGACCAGCAGTCCGGGCGAAAGGCAGCAGGCGCAAAAACTGCCAACCGGTCGTCCAACTGCTCGATGAGCTTCCTGGTTCCGAACGCTTTGGTGGAGACACCATCCGGAAGGGCGTGCATCCCAGCTGTCCCTCCCATTCTTTCCGGCAGCACGCATGCCTCAACTTCGAGTCCCGGAGGAGCTGGCACCCCGAATGGCCATGGCACGACGTGGATGAGGTCATCGGGAGCAAAGCGAGAAGAGCAGCAGGAGGAACGTTGGCTTTCTGTGCTTTCTGATTCTGGAGATCCCCTTGCACTCTCGAGCTTCTCAGCAAGTGGCACTAGCTGTGGCTCTGTCAAGCGTGTGGGTAAAACATGAAGCCAAGAATTCGATTGGACAGTCGATGCTGAGTTCGGGAAGTTGGTGGGCCCTCCCACGGCTGCCGACGCTGCATCGAAAGCCTTGGCCGCCTGCAGCTCGGTCTGGAAATAGCCAAGGAACTTGCGCTGACAAGTAGCCTGGAACACATGCTTTCCTTTGTGCTTGGAAACGCCCAGGAATCGGGAAGTCCTTCCTGCTGGCACAGGTTCGTTTTGCCATGATTCCTCATTGAAATAATCAGACTGCTTCGGGAAATTGAGCGAGAATAGGCGGATAGAGCGAAAGACATCCCTACAGCGGATGGCTTTGTCATAGACCCTCGCAGCCTCGAGCTCGCTATCGAAAGTACCCAGGTATCTGCTTCGTCCGTTCACCATGACCCTGGCCTGAAAGCGACCGGAGCCACAAGGATCGACGCCTTTGTAGCCACGCTTGGCTGGCTCCTTCGCCAACCGCTGCTTCGCCTGCAGGATCTCGTTGTCTGCAGGCACTCTACTCGGAAAGTTCCGCTTGCACACAGGCAGTCTCAAAACCACTGTCGCAGCATCATAGCGGGCAGCCGCATCCTGCTCCGTCTCGAAGGTACCCAAGTGAACTTCTCTGGTGCTGTCAAGCCCAGCAATTCTGGCCCGCCACTTGCCAGAAACAGCATGCCAGGTAACCCCCCGAAATTGGGATTGGCGACCGGCAGCCCTGCGTCCGCGTCCGGACCTCGGGAAAGATGACACGAGTTCGCGACTTACTGGCGCGAAATTTGTACGGCCGGCTCCGGCCAGGGAGGCTGCGTCAAAAGCTCTGGCAGCTTGAAGCTCAGTGGCAAACGTGCCCAGGTGTTTGCCGCCAGCCTTCGCGCAATACTTTTGGGCTGCTGCGTGGTAGTACACGCCCATAAACCGCGATGTCTTCCCTGCCGGAATTGGCTCATCCTGCCATGAGCATTCCGAAAAGAAATCCGACTCCTCCAGGAAGTTCAAGCTTGCTAGCTTCTGGGAGCGAGGCGTGGGGCCCAGCGTCTCACTTCTAAGGGCTGCATCGTAGGCTTTAGCGGCATCAAGCTCGTCAGCAAAGCTTCCCAAGTGAAGGCTTGTTCCGTTTTTCTTGATTCGTGCCACCCACCCGCTACCCTTCGGGTACACTCCGCTATACGAGGATGCCTTCGGCCTCGTTGCAAGCCGCACCTGGACCTCGAGAAGCTCGTGCTCAGTTGGCAGTTTTTTTGGGAAGTTCTTCTGCGAGCCGGGCCCTCGCAATGCCACTCTGGCCGCATCGTGTCTTGCTGCTGCCGCTATCTCGTCCTCGAACAATCCCAGGTGATGCTTCTTCCTGGATTTCAGGTCCATGATGGCAGCCGACCACTTCCCACAAAGACCATGCCAGGACACACCGACATACTGAGACCGCCGGACAGCCTTGCGCGGTAGGGCAGTGGCCGTTGTTGCGGCCGAGAGAGCCCGGTCAGCGCAGAGACCACTGAATGGAACCCTTCGGATATGCATGCATGCAAGCCTCCGCATCTTAAGCCCAAACGGCCCCTTCCAGCGGCAGGCAAAACCAACTTGCATAGAAACCTCGCCGCACAAGTCCCCAATCCCCATCGAAGGACAAAGTGGGGGGGGGGGGGGGGGGGGGGGGTTGAAGTTTGGGAATTTCTTGCGTGGTCCTACTACCCCAACCACTACTATGCCTGAGCTTCTTTCTCTTCAGACCTCCGTCCATGGCACCCCAACAGACCGGATCCTCACGGCCTGGTTCAGGCTTCGACGCTCACAGGGTTTAGGGCTTGGGGACCCTGTAGGGGCTCAAGGCTCAGGCTTTCGGCGTCCAGACGTTCACTTGCGTCGGCCTTCTCGAAGTGTCTTACGTTTTTCCCAAAAACATCTCGGATGTTGGGTTCTCGTTTAGGTTCAAAACGCGAGAGAGCGATACCGGGGAATGGCGGCGCGGGGTGAAAGCGAAACGGGGATGAAAACGAAGCGGGGACGAACGCAGCGGGGGTGAGATCGAAACGGGTGATCAGAGCCGCGGGGTGAAAACGCTACGGGATGGAAAGGAGTGGGGATCAGAAGGGCCGGATGAAAACGAAACGGGTGAAAACACAAACGAGGATGAAAACGAAAGGGGGATGGCGTGGAGATCAGAAGGGCAGGATGAAAACGAAACGGGGATTTTCGTTGAATTGTAGTACAAATGTAGTGCTGGGAGGACAGAGCCGGAGGGGCGCGAGAGCAGACTGCGGCACGTGTGACCGCGCGTGCGCGCTGAGGGGTTTTCATTGAATTAAATGTATATTACAAATGTACTACTGGGAGGACACAGCCGAAGGGGCGCGAGAGCGGACTGCGGCACGTGCGACAGCGCGTACGGTGGCGGGACGCTGAGAGATTTTCGTTGCAGTGTAGTACAAATGTAGTACTGGGAGGACAGAGCCGGAGGGGCGCGAGTGCGGCACGAGAGCGAACTGCGGCACGTGCGACGGCGCGTACGGCGGCCTGGGACGCTGAGGGTTTTCGTTGAACTGTCTAGTACAAATGTAGTACTGGGAGGACAGAGCCGGAGGGACGCGAGAGCGAACTGCGGCAGGTGCAACGGCGCGTACGCGGCGCGGGGCGCTGAGGGATTTTCGTTGAATTGTAGCGGTGCGTACGGCGGCGCGGGACGCTGAGGGATTCTCGTTGTATTGTAGTACAAATGTATACTGGGAGGACAGAGCCGGAGGGGCGCGAGTGCGGCGCGAGAGCGAACTGCGGCACGTGCGACGGCGCGTATGACAGCGCGGGACGCTGAGGGATTTTCGTTAAATTGTAGTACAAATGTAGTACTGGAGGACAGAGCCGGAGGGGCGCGAGAGCGCGGCGCGGGACGCTGAGGGATTTTCGTTGAATTGTAGTACAAATGTAGTACTGGGAGGACAGAGACGGAGGGGCGCGAGAGCGAACTGCGGCACGTGCGACGGCGCGTACGGCGCCGCGGGACGCTGAGGGATTTTCGTTGAATTGTAGTACACATGTAGTACTGGGAGGACAGAGCCGGAGGGACGCGAAAGCGGACTGCGGCATGCGCGACGGCGCGTACGGTGGCGCGGACGCTGAGGGATTTTCGTTGAATTGTAGTACAAATATGTAGTACTGGGAGGACAGAGCCGGAGGGGCGCGAGAGCGAACTGCGGCACGTGCGACGGCGCGTACGGAACGCTCGGCGGCGCGGGGCGCTGAGGGATTTTCGTTGAATTGTAGCACAGATGTAGGGAGACAGAGCCGGAGGGGCGCGAGAGCGGACTGCGGCACGTGCGACGGCGCGTACGGCAGCGCGGGATTTCGTTGAATTGTAGTACAAATGTAGTACTGTGAGGACAGAGCCGGAGGGGCGCGAGAGCGGACTGCGGCCGCATACGGCGGCGCAGGACGCTGAGGGGTTTTCGTTGCATTGTAGTACAAATGTAGTACTGGGCGGACAGGAGAGCGGACTGCGGCATGCGCGACGGCGCGTGCGGCGGCGCGGGACGCTGAATAATTTTCGTTGCATTGTAGTACAAATTGTAGTATTGTAGTACTGGGAGGACAGAGCCGGAGGGGCGCGAGAGCGAACTGCGGCACGTGCGGGACGCTGAGGGATTTTCGTTGCATTGTAGTACAAATGTAGTACTGTGAGACAGAGCCGGAGGGGCGCGAGAGCGAACTGCGGCACGGACGGCGGCGCGGGACGCTGAGGGATTTTCGTTGAATTGTTGTGCAAATGTAGTACTGGGAGCCGGAGGGGCGCGACAGCGGACTGGGCGGACTGTGGCACGTGCGACGGCGCGTACGGCGGCGCGGGACGCTGAGGGATTTTCGTTGCATTGTAGCACAAATGTAGTGCTGGGAGGACAGAGCCGGAGGGACGCGAGAGCGAACTGCGGCACGTGCGACGGGCTGAGAAATTTTCGTTGAATTGTAGTACAAATATGTAGTACTGGGAGGACAGAGCCGGAGGGGCGCGAGAGCGAACTGCGGCACGTGCGACGGCGCGTGCGGCGGCGCGGGACGCTGAGGGATTTTCGTTGAATTGTCGTACCAATGTAGTACTGGGAGACAGAGCCGGAGGGGCGCGAGAGCGAACTGCGGCACGTGCGTACGGCGGCGCGGGACGCTGAGGCGCTGAGGGATTTTCGTTGACTTGTGGTACAAGTGTTGTACTGGGAGGACAGAGCGGGGCGCGAGAGCCGGAGGGGCGCGAGAGCGGACGGCGCGTGCGGGGATCCAAGATGACGAGTTCTGACCGGGTACAACCAAAGCCAACACGCAGTCTCAGTCGATACGCTTCCGACAGACACGCCGTAACATGAGGTTTTTCGCTTCAATTAGTCAACTACCCTGCGTCGCCTTACTACCTTCTTAAGTAGACTGTCTATAAAATGCGCATATGGCATACGGAATGGATGTTAAAGTGGGGGTTTCACTCCGGCACTGTTGTCATGCAGATTGTTTTTGGGCTCCTGGCTTGACCTTGTTTTTGAACCTGCCAGGAGAACTCAAGGCAAACCTCCGGGACTGTTTTGGGTCTTGGGCTAAGTCCTCTGCCCCCCGCCGCCCCAACCCGCCCAAATAAGATAAGTTAAAGGTTCCCAACCCGGCTGGCGGACCATGAGAACTCCGCTTCGACAAGAATTGCCGCCGTGCAGGGAGTGAGACCCTGAACCCTACCCACACCCTGTCCATCCTTCGGGGGGGGGGGGGGGGGGGCTATCCGAACTCTCTAAACCTCCGCAAGCCCTAAACCCTCCCCCCCCCCCAAAGTAAAGAAGACCCTCGTTCTAGCTTTTGCAGCCCGAGCTTCTCGATCTGCTTCTTGATGTCCTTGATCTCCTCATCGGCTTTCTCGGCGTGGTCCACCCACCTGATGTATGGAGACAACCCTAAAGCCCACAACCCACCCCCTTGCAGGCTAAGGAACCAAGAATCCTATACAAGGGGGACAGTAGTAGAGTAGCCTACACAGAAGCAGGTTTGGACTAGCTAAGTTAGGGCATCAGGCTGCTTCCCGGTCCTGGTTGCCTGCAGAAGGCTTACTTGAAGGTTCTTGGGCAGTTACGAATGGGGGGCTCTCAACTTTGGGATCCACTGATCGGAACCTTGGGCACAAAACGAACCCTTTAAAAGGGTGTATGGCTCATACACCTTAATAGGAGTTATAATAGTTCAGGGTATGTGACTCTCTACTAGGAATTGTAGTACTTCAAGGTGTACATACATATACATATACATACATACATACATACATGCATGCATGCATACATACATACATACATATATATATATATGTATAGCTTAATATGAACTATAGCACATATATATATATATACATATACATATATACATGTACAGCTTAATAGGAACTATAGTAGTTTCGGGTATACGACCACCAGTTTTAGGGTGCACTTCGTCTCCAAAAAAATATATCTCCCCGAGTCCTTCGGCCGAGGTGCTCGGGGGGCAAGGTGGAGCGGTCGATGCGCGTCGAGCCCACCTCCTCGTCTTGCAGGAGCGGCTGACCTGAGAAAGGGCCCCGGAACCTTTGCATCCAAGTCCCACAGAACTCCTGAGCCCTGTTGGTTCTTACAACCAAACCGTTAAACAAGCAAGCTTTCTGCAAGACGGCTGCAGGCTTAGGGTCTCAATTAGGCTGCACGGCTTTGAAGTAGGGATTGCCACTTGAAGGCTTAGGGGTTCGAGCCGGCGGGCGCCCTGAAAACGATGGCGGAACTAGCCTCAGAGCCCCGGGCACCAGCGGGAAAAAGCAATGCTCAGCCGAAGCCCAGCAAAGTCCAGAATCCCCCCAATTCGGCTCGAGACCCCGGAGCTCTAAACCTCCTTCAAGTAGTGAAGCTCCTGCGATTGTGGCTTCCAAAGTTCACAGCCCAGGTGCTGCCCGGGTATGCGTCGCCGCCTGCTTGGCGGCGCCGCTGCTGTCGGTACTTGCGCCAGCCTTGGGCCGGTGAGGTTTCGTGAGATTACAGGAGGGCCGCTCCAGCGACTCTGAGGCTTCATCGTGTATGAAGCCCGCCCTCGCAATACCCCAGTGGCACCCAGGATGACTCGGCATCATTAATGTCCAGGATACATGCAATGCTTGCACGACAAGGCTGCCCACGTGAAAGTCATATGGCAACCCGTGGCATCCTCGGGTCATGGATGGGGTCAGCTCCCGTGCTCAGGGACTCCCGTGCGCTAGGCAACCGAACCGTGTCTAGAACCGTAGCTCAAGGGCGTATTCCGGCTTGCCATTTCAAGTGCAAGTGGCTTGGTGTGAGGTCGTGGGTCACCAGAGGCGCGGGTCGCGGCGGCATGGCAAACGTTGCTGTCAGGAGTAGTTCGACAAGTCTTTGGCAGCGTTGCATCCTAGAGGCAAAGTGCCTTTGCGAGCTCAGTTGCGAGCGTGCATGGCATGCAATAGCTGAGCCTATCTTAGATTCAATTGCAGGAGATTGACCCAGTACCGAGGTTGGCTTGCAAGGAACTTTGGGGACGGCTCCGTGCGCTTGCTTGTTGACCCCTTGTGGGATGCTGGATTGTCAGATGGTCTGTACTGACAAGCATGCACCAGCCTGTGAACAGCAGCATCGGGACAGGCCGTGCATGGGCTCAACCCCAAGGTTGCATTAAAACCCTTATAAGGACCATGCAAGCCCTTGCATTCTTGCCATCTCCTCTACATCTGGACAACAACAAAGGTACCTGCAGATTCTACCACCCATGAGATCTTGATCGATGCTAGAGTTTCCTGCATAGCTGGGCGAACCGCGCTGCAGGGATGCTTCGGGCTTAAGGTTTCGAACGCAAGGGAAGCTGCAACTGCAGCGGACTATCAAAAGCCTTCGAACTTCGAGCCCCCAAGAAGTTGGGTCCCACGCCACTGCGGAACCCAAGTGCTGGGCCCCACCATCCTTGGTTGCGGGCGGCTTTGTGAGAACATCTTAGAACTTTGTAGGGCACGCGGGTTTTTATCAAAGGGTGATATAGGTAACTGCTAGTCAAGGCGAGCCGCATCGAGGGGCTTGCTGGGGTCATCCTCATCCCAGAGGTCGAACAGGAGCAACAATGGCCTCGTCTTCTGTCTGGTTTGAAGGCCTTCGGGCCACCAGCCTAGGGCCGTTTTTGCACCGAGTTTGGGGTTTAGGCTGGTTTAGGGTGGTTTGTGCCAGAAGCACGTCATGCTTCGGGGCTTTAGCATTATACGAACACAATCACACCAGGATTTGCGGTTCCGAGGTTCAGGACTTCGACTGGAACATGGGCATCAAGAAGCCATGCCTAAACACCTGATGCTGCGCGCAGTCTGCGTTTCTTGCTGATGCTCAGTCGGGAATGAGGGAATGAGCCGGGTGTAGTGATTCCATTTTTTGCAGCGCTCTTGAGCTGGACCAATGCCTCGAGCGTGTTGCTGAGACAAACACCTATGAATTTAACCATAATAACTATTTAAAAAAACTAAGTCTGTATACCTGTGTGTGGGAAACAATTACGGAATTCGGCTGAAAGTGTCAAACCATGCCTGTTCATAAAAGTTTAGAAGAATCGCACCCTGGTAGGACAGCACCTGCAAGCAAAAAAACGGGCTGCTACGGACAAAAGCAGGAGAGTCTGACATATAGCTCAAAAGGGACTATCCCAGAAATCATAGAAGTAATGTAAGGGTCCCAGAAGTTCCACCAAACAGGTCCAGAACTTAGGACGAAAAAATAGTCAAGCCAATGCCCTGCGTCCAGAGCCCCTCTTCCTGGCGCTGGACACCTGGGCGGCTGGGACAGAAACCAGGCACGTTCGTTTTGCTTGGGTTTTTCTTGGGTTTGACAGGTGCTGAATTCGTGCCTACAGCTTTAGGTTTTGATAATAATTACATGGCGCTGAACCAGTGCCAGATGGATTAGTTTGGCGCTAAATCAGTGCCTCTAGGAAATTTTCATGAGTCTTAGTCTTGATTCAGGGCTATTTACCAAGATAACAGGGTAAAAGTGAACATAATCAGTTTGCAAGGGTCGGGAGCTTGGTGCAGAGCCGAGGATGAGGAGGCCTGGAGGAGCGGGGGGGGGTGCGGGGGGGGGTGGGTCGGCAGCGTCTGAAGCGGGTACTTCGGAAGTGCAGCTTCTGAAAATTCGGTGAGGAAGTCGGAATTTGAAAGAATTCCGTGGAAACCTTAACCCAAAAAACAGCAGACGTTCCCCAACAAAAAAGAATTGAGCAAAAACCGTCAATGTAACACATAACAAATTCTAAAGGACGGTTTTGAAAACCGTTACGAACGACAACAAAGACAACGCTAAACCACCGAAATAATTCAGTGGAAACCTTAACCCAACAAACGGCGGACATTCCCTAGTAACAAGAAGCGAACAAACAAAACGTTAATGCAACGCGTACAGGTTGGCTGTGAAAACTGTTCCGAGCGACAACGAAAATAATTCAGTGGAAACCGAAGCCCAAACAACAGCGGACATTCCCTAATCAAAATAGGCGAGCAAAAGAACGCCAATGCAACACATAAGAATTCTAAAGGACGGTTGTAACAACCGTTCCGAGAGCGCGGCGCTGAGTCCGTGTCCTCCCCCTTATACTCAAGAGCGCTGAATCAGTGCCTCTCGTGGCTGTGCCCTTCGTCCAGGCTGCAGAGGCGCAGCTTGGTATAGTGTACACTTACTATACTACTATTAATTTGTGTACAGTGTTGTATACTATACACTTATATATACTGTTCATTAGTGTTATGCAAAGTAAATTATATAGGGCGATTGTGTTTGATACGACCGCTGATTGCCCCAACCAGATTTCAAGAGAGCACTCAGAGCGCAGAGAGAGCACCCACCCACCCACAAAAAAAGAAGCAAACAAAGGGAGAGCACGAAACGTTGGATTTAGGGTTTAGTTTAGGGTTTAGGGTCTAGGGTTGTTCGGTCTAGGGCGAGGGTTTTAATTAAGTCTTAGTTGGACCGAAAGCCCAAGAACCATCACACTTAGGCTCATAGGCTTTCAGTAGCCTGTTTATTGTAGCCTATTTTGCGATCAAGGATCGCCGCCACGACGCTCTGAACATCTCTCTACTGTGCTGTGGCGCGCAGGCTCTGGCAAACTTGAATGTGATCAAGGCGCACGCAGGATACGCTGAACGAGCAACCAATGATCATGGTGGAGGCTGGCCTGGCTGGCACGAAGGTCGGCTCATTCCCGTTTAGGAATCGGGTCCCTTACAACGGACCGAGGTACCCCGTCCACTGGCTCATTCCCGAACCCGTCCTCATTCCCTAGGTCTACCGCTCTCAAGATAGCCCAGGCCGTCGGAAGAAGAGGGTGCTGGCACCCCCTTCTTCCAACAGACCGAGGACCCTCGGTCCGTTGGAAGAAGAGGGTGCGGTACCCAGGCCCCCTTGTGTAACAGTGGGGTTCCCGACCCCCTTCCTACCAACATAAGCGGAAACCCCGGCACCCTCTTCTTCCAACGGACCGAGGGTCCTCGGTCTGTTGGAAGAAGGGGGTGCCAGCACCCTCTTCTTCCAACGGCCTGGGCTATCTTGAGAGCGGTAGACCTAGGGAATGAGGACGGGTTCGGGAATGAGCCAGTGGACGGGGTACCTCGGTCCGTTGTAAGGGACCCGATTCCTAAACGGGAATGAGCCGACCTTCGTGCCAGCCAGGCCAGCCTCCACCATGATCATTGGTTGCTCATTCAGCGTATCCTGCGTGCGCCTTGATCACATTCAAGTTTGCCAGAGCCTGCGCGCCACAGCACAGTAGAGAGATGTTCAGAGCGTCGTCGCCACGATCCTTGATCGCAAAATAGGCTACAATAAACAGGCTACTGAAGCCTATGTGTGATGGTTCTTGGGCTTTCGGTCCAACTAAGACTTAATTAAAACCCTCGCCCTAGACCGAACAGCCCTAAACCCTAAACCCTAAACTAAACCCTAAATCCAACGTTTCGTGCTCTCCCTTTGTTTGCTTCTTTTTTTGTGGGTGGGTGGGTGCTCTCTCTGCGCTCTGAGTGCTCTCTTGAAATCTGGTTGGGGCAATCAGCGGTCGTATCAAACACAATCGCCCTATATAATTTACTTTGCATAACACTAATGAACAGTATATATAAGTGTATAGTATACAACACTGTACACAAATTAATAGTAGTATAGTAAGTGTACACTATACCAAGCTGCGCCTCTGCAGCCTGGACGAAGGGCACAGCCACGAGAGGCACTGATTCAGCGCTCTTGAGTATAAGGGGGAGGACACGGACTCAGCGCCGCGCTCTCGGAACGGTTGTTACAACCGTCCTTTAGAATTCTTATGTGTTGCATTGGCGGTTTTTTGCTCGCCTATTTTGATTAGGGAATGTCCGCTGTTGTTTGGGCTTCGGTTTCCACTGAATTATTTTCGTTGTCGCTCGGAACAGTTTTCACAGCCAACCTGTACGCGTTGCATTGACGTTTTGTTTGTTCGCTTCTTGTTACTAGGGAATGTCCGCCGTTTGTTGGGTTAAGGTTTCCACTGAATTATTTCGGTGGTTTAGCGTTGTCTTTGTTGTCGTTCGGAACGGTTGTCAAAACTGTTCTTTAGAATTTGTTATGTGTTACATTGACGGTGTTTGCTCACTTCTTTTTGTTGGGGAACGTCCGCTGTTTTTGGGTTAAGGGTTCCACTGAATCCTTTCAAATTCCGACTTCCTCACCGAATTTTCAGAAGCTGTGCTTCCGAAGTTTTGTTTCCCACATTGAAACCGCTTCAGACGCTGCCGACCCACCCCCCCCCCCCCCCCCCCCCCCCCCCGGCTCTCTCGGGCCTCCTCATCCTCGGCTCTGCACCAAGCTCCCGACCCTTGCAAACTGATTATGTTCACTTTTACCCTGTTATCTTGGCAAATAGTCCTGAATTGCACAAGACTAAGACTCATGAAAATTGCCTAGAGGCACTGATTTAGCGCCAAACTAATCCATCTGGCACTGGTTCAGCGCCATGTAATTATTATCAAAACCTAAAGCTGTAGGCACGAATTCAGCACCTGTCAAACCCAAGAAAAACCCAAGCAAAACGAACGTGCCTGGTTTCTGTCCCAGCCGCCCTGGTGTCCAGCGCCAGGAAGAGGGGCTTTGGACGCAGGGCATTGGCTTGACGACTATTTTTTCGTCCTAAGTTCTGGACCTGTTTGGTGGAACTTCTGGACCCTTGCATTACTTCTATGATTTCTGGGATAGTCCCTTTTTATCTATATGTCAGACTCTCCTGCTTTTGTCCGTAGCAGCCAACCCGTTTTTTGTTTGCAGGTTCTGTCCTACCGGGGTGCGATTCTTCTAAACTTTTCTGAACAGGCATGGTTTGACACTCTCAGCCGAATTCCGTAATTGTTTCCTACACACAGGTATACAGACTTAGGTTTTTTTAAATAGTTATTATGGTTAAATTCATAGGTGTTTGTCTCAGCAACGCGCTCGAGGCATTGTTCCAGCTCAAGAGCGCTGCAAAAAATGAAATCACTACACCCGGCTCATTCCCTCATTCCCGACTGAGCATCAGCAAGGTTTGCAGCTTGGGGAAAACCGACCGCACCTCCTGCTCAAACTCCTCAAAAACCTTAAGCCTGCACATCCTAGAACCTTTGGCCGGAAGGAATCCACTTTGCTTTCGTAGGGAGGCACGTACCTTTTGGCTTATACGCCCCTATGGAACCCACGATCATGCAGGGAACCCAGTTCCCCAAAAACACACACAACGCCCTCAACCCTTTTGCAACACGCTGCCTCCTTTTAACTCCTTTTGCAACGGCCTTTGGATATTTCTTGACCCTAAACCCCGCCTGTAAGTAAGGTGACGGGCTTTCAATTCCCCAATTTCCTACGAAGAACCCGTAAGGTTCCCTACAACCGACCCGAAACCATTGAGGAAACCCGTGCCGCGGGCTGATCCAGCTCAGTGAAGGCGGCCTGAAAAGCCTCCCAGGAGTTTCGGGTGTTCAGGGTTTTAGGGTGTTTTTGCCACCCGCCCAGCTGACAAGGGTTTTTAGGGCTTAGACGTCTCGGTTCGACTGGACTAGGCCGGTTTCTATGGTTTAGGGTTTCTCCTCCAGAAACTCAGATGTGGGGCTCTGAGGGCTCCGGGCTCAAGGCCAGTAGGTCGGCCCCTGGCTTTGGGTGTGAGGGAGTTGGGCATCGCATTTGCTGGGATGTTCTAGGCGCGTGTAGGTCGGGTCCATGGTGTGTTTGTAGAGACCGGGCTATGCAAGTCTCTTGGGTTAAAAGGGCGGGTCCAGCTCCGATTGTGGTGGGAGTTACTTCATGCCGCGCACCAACATAGCACGCATGACTCAGTCGCAGCACAAGCTCCAACCTTAATTTCATTCAGGGCTGGGATTTGCTGTAGCCAGTCGTTTCGGGAAACCTGATCCTGTCCCCTGCTGTCTTTAACTTTCCTACACCCACTCCTTCCAAGGACCTTGTGATACGGGAAAGCCCCGAAGTCCTCGCATATATGTTTTCCTCCCGAGCAGCTGGTGAAGGTTCTGGAGCAGCTGTGCCAAATCCACAGGGCTTCTCAGCTCCAAGATCGCCTGCCCTTGGGGCCACAGCTGCAACACAGGTTGCTTCTCTGCTGTCAGCTGCACCAAAAGCCATCCACGTGCATCCGTCACGATTGCCAAAAGGGGTGCTGTCGGTGTCTCGGACAGGAAGCCGGCCAAGACCGCGCAGCTTTGGGCCATGGCCGCGAGGAAGAGAGCGTGCCTGGCCTCCGTGCTTACGCTGGAGCCGAGGCAGCGCTTCGCTTCAACAACGGCGATGGGCGAGTCGCCGTCGAACAGTGCGTAGTCGGCTTTCCCGGCAAAGGGAGATGATTCGGGAAGAGGCTCTTCGGGCGCCAGATGCAGCGCGTATTTCCGGCAGAAGTGGACCAAGATGATGTCCAGCACCATCCTCACCTGCGCCTCGTTGCCCTGGAAGCCGGAATTCAGGGACCAGGAGTCCCGGCGAAAGGCAGCAGGCGCAAAAACTGCGAACCGGTCGTCCAACTGTTCCATGAGCTTCCTGGTTCCGAACGCTTTGGTGGAGACACCGTCCGGAAGGGCGTGCATCCCAGCTGTCCCTCCCATTCTCTCCGGTAGCATGCGTGCCTCAACTTCGAGTCCTGGGGGAGCTGGCACCTCAAAAGGCCATGGCACGACGCGGATGAGGTCATCGGGAGCAAAGCGAGAAGAGCAGCAGGACGGACGTTGGCTCTCTATGCTTTCTGATTCTGGAGATCGCCGTGCGCTCGTTCTCCTCATGCTGTAGCTATTGTAGTGCATCTGAGTCTTGGAATCGGTGTTCTCGAGCTTCTCACCAAGCAGCGGCACTAGCTTCGTCTCTGTCAGGCCTGTGGCCGGTGCTGCATGAGGGCGAGAATGCGCATAGACAGTCCCTGGTGATTTCGGGAAGAAGTTGGTGGGCCCTCCCACGGCTGCCGATGCCGCATCGAAAGCCGTGGCAGCCTGCAGCTCACTCGGGAAGTGGCCGAGAAACTTGCGCTGACACGTGGCTCGGAACACTCCTTTCCGCTTGGAAACGCCCATGAATCGGGAGGTCTTGCCTGCTGGCACAAGTTCACTTTGCCATGATTCCTCGCAAAAATAATCGGACTGCTCAGGGAAGTTAAGCGAGTGTAAGCGGACAGAGCGGCAGGCGTCGCTGCAGCGGATTGCATGGTCATAAGCCCTTGCAGCTTCGAGTCCACGACCGAAAGTACCCAGCCATCTACTTTGTCCATTCACTCGGAACCTGGCCTCAAAGCGCCTGCCTCGCTGATAAACCCCGCGATAGCCGCGCCTGTGAGGCTCCTTTGCCAGACGATCCAGACGGCCTTCCGCCTGCAGGATCTCGTCGTCTGCTGGGACCCTTTGCGGAAAGTTCCGCTTGCACGCAGCCAGTCCCAAAACCACGCTGGCGGCATCATAGCGGGCAGCCGCTGCGTGCTCCGACTCGAAGGTGCCCAAGTGAACTTGTCTAGAACTGTTCGGGCCAACAATTCTAGCCCGCCACTTGCCAGTGTGCCAATGAACCCCTCGAAATTCAGACTGCCGATCGGCAGGCATGCGTTCGGACGCCAGGGTCGACGACGCGAGTTCCCAACTTGATGGCGCAAAATTTGTACGGCCCGCTCCGGCCAGCGAAGCTGCGTCAAAAGCTTTGGCAGCTTGAAGCTCAGTGGCAAACGTGCCCAGATATTTGCCTGCAACCCACGCGCAATACTTTTGGGTGGCTCTTTGGTAGTGCACGCCCATAAACCGCGATGTCTTCCCTGCAGGAATAGGCTCGTCCTGCCAGGAGCCTTCAGAAAAGAAATCCGACTCCTCCAGGAAGTTCAATCTTGCTAGCTTCTGGGAGCGGGGCACGTGGCCCAGCCTCTCAGCTCGAAGGGCTGTATCGTAGGCTTTGGCCGCATCGAGCTCGTCCGCAAAGGTTCCCAAATAAAGCAACGTTCCATTCTTCATGATTTGCGCCGCCCACCCGCTACCCTGCCGCCACACGCCGTTGTACGAGGATGCCTTCGGCTTGGCTGCAAGACGCAACTTGACATCAAGAAGCTCATGTTCAGATGGTAGCTTCGCCGGGAAGTTGCTCTGCGAGCCGGGCCCTCTCAGCACAACTCTAGCTGCATCATATTTTCGTGCTGCTGAAAGCTCATCCTCGAAAACTCCCAAGTGATACCGCTGCATGGTCTTCGGGTCTCTGATGCAAGCAGCCCACTTCCCAGCAAGGCCTTTCCAGTGCACCCCTACGTACTGAGACTGCCTGACAGCCTTGCGAGGGGCATTTGCCGTCGTTGCAGCCGAATGAGCCCGCGCAGTGCAAAGGCGACCGATTGGCAACGTTCGCACATGCATCCATGCAAATCTCTTCATCTGAAGTCCAAGCGGTGGGACGAATGCAGATGCTAGATGTTCCATGGCAGACACCACAGGGCCACCGAACTACCGGTGCCTGATTGTTTGCAATGGGTTGGTGATCAAAGGTTGGCTCGGCGGCGCATGCTAAGCAACACGTGCCTACACCTGCCCAACATGGCCCAGCAATCAGCGTCCAACCTCCTGCCACACAGGCTTCAGCGTGTCGTTGACCACCTCGCGAAGCTACAAACTTGGAGATGCTAGGGTTTAGCTTGTGGCGGCATTTGTTCACGGTCACGAATTGTAATCGGAATGCACGCAACACTCCTGCAGCACCAGCCTTGGTGCGATGGAGTTCGACGACTTGGCCGGAGATTAGGACTGCTCGCACGATGCCTTGGCACCCGGCGAAGCCGCTTGTATGTCCTAGCAGCACTGGTGCCACGTGAACGGTTGAACGCTCAACAAAACCAGTTCCGCCCGGGAGGCACCGCGAGGAGGTCCGCTAATGCTTGCACGCTGAGGCGCGCACAGAACCTCAGCTCCCAGTTTCAGGGTGCTAAGGTTCGGGGCAAGGGGGCGCATCTTATAGCAAAGAAAGTAAGTTGCGTCGAGCCTGCAAAGCCCCTCAAAAAAAGTGCCATTCATGACGACACCTACTAGGACATTGAGTCTCCAAGCCAAAAAAAGAACTGTCTTCAAGGGGCGGATCGCTCAGGCCGATCATCTCCGTGTTCGGCAGGTCCGCTGCCTTCACGACGACCCCGTAAACCTGTGGCCGGTGCGGGCCGGAACTAAAACTCCGGCTTTGAAAGGGGACGTTCGTATGACTAGGGGACTAGTTCAGGGCAGTGTTCAGATTATGTATAGAATACGAGTGTATTGAAGTGGTGGAGGACTTGGGGGAACAGCGAAGCAAGGCTTTTCTGGAGGCTCTAATGGCTGCTTTTTCCGAGGGGGAGGGGGGTGGGGAGGGGGGTTGTGGTGCGAGCAAGCCCGCGAAAGCATCAAGCATGTCATAAAGCAAGCCATCTCCATGATGCCCTTCAGCTGCCGGCGCATGTTATAACGACACCGAGATCCAACTCTGCATAAAAGGCCATGCCTACATGTTCCTCGCCTCCTGTGCCTGCATATAACTCCACATCCCTCCATTACTCCCCCTTCGACCCTAAAACCCTAAGATGCCCGACCCTCTCCCGTTTAAGGGTTTAGGGTTTCAGGGGTTTAGGATTTAAGGGGTTTAAGGGGTTTAAGGGTTTAAGGGGTTTAAGGGGTTTAAGGGGTTTAAGGGGTTTAAGGGGTTTAAGGGGTTTAAGGGGTTCAAGGTGTTTAGGGGGTTTAGGGTGTAGGAACGAAGGGGGCCCAAGATGAAATCTGCCCAAGGCGGCCTGCTGGATGTAGCTCCTTGGGGCATCATGGGCAACTCTATGCTCCGGTTTCTGCAGGTCATGGGTTCTTGTCAAGGGTTTAGGGCTTAGGGTTTAGGGTTTAGGGTTTTGAGGTCGAAGCTTGCACTTTGTTGCTTTACCTTGGACCCGTTGCGCCTTCATCTCACGAGTCCTTCAGAAGCCTGTGCGTCCGCATCCCTCCAGGCCGAGGCGCACGTGCACCAGGCTCTGACGGAGCATCAGCTGCCGTGGAGGAGGCCGGGGCACATGGTCCCGGTAGATGGTGATGGCCTGCATAAACTCGAGGTAAGCCCCAAGGCTGCAGAACTTGGCAGGCGATGGGGCAAAGTTGGATCCGCAAACACTGAGGGCGGAGCGATGGTAAGTCGCGGCTTTCGTCCGGAAGCCTGCCCAGGAAGCAAGAGAACCCCAGAAACCTACATTGGCCTCACAGCGCTGTCGCGGAGGAAGCCTCGCAAGGCCCTGCGAATCGTCGGCTAAACACGGGTGCGCGCGGCCTTGCGTGTGAGGATGCCACCCAGCTCCAGCTCGTGCCTCGGCGCCGGCAGCCCTTACCGTTCTCAATTCCGGTTGCCCCAACAGTTGCTGGCCCGGGTCTGGAGCTTCGGAATGGCAGATATGTGCAGGTTTAGGGCTTTTGGGGCCTTTGGGTGTCTTAGGGGGATGGGGGCCGCTTGTTCAGGAACCCTAAACCCTAAACCCTAAGCCCTAAACCCAGGAGCCCGGGTAGCTCCTTTTTCCCCAAGCAGAGCTTCGCGTCAGGAAGCTGAAGTCGATCCTTCTCGCCTGTACTGCCACACGTCTCTGCAGCAGTCGGTTTGGGGTTTAAGGCAGCAGAGTGCCCGTCGAGCCATGCCCGTATGTAAACTCACACCTCGTGAGGATATGACACCTAATCATGGCACGAAAAAACCTAAACCCTAAAACCTAAACCCTACACCCTAAACCCTAAGCTAACCCAAGCTAACCCAAAAACCTCCAAAATCCCAAGAAGTATCATTGCCATTGTCATACTTTGGGAGGTTCCCCCTTTATACGAACAGCCCTTAATGAGATTTCTGTACCCCCTATTCCAATCCCAGGGCTGTTTGTATAAGGGGGAACATGTCATACTTTTCATGGTCCCTTGTACGAATAACCGACTCAAACCAATGGTTCGGGGCTTGGCCAGCAGGAATGCTGGGACGTGCCTAGGGGCTGGTGGGCTGGGAGATAACGGGACAGACCAACAAAGCAACCCCACATTTTTGACTCTAGTGGAGAGAGAGAGAGGGAGAGGGCAGTTTGGCGCGGTGCTTGCTGCACGTACCCCAACCTCGACGGGGTTCAAATTTTTCTGAGCGCGCGTCAAGTCTAAAACACAACGGCGCCACGACGTACAAAAAGCCTTGCACAGCCGTCCGTGCTAGTGCAAGCCTCGCAGCCTCCTACATAACCACGGTGCTCCAGAAACCGGCAATTCCCCCCCCAGCACTCCTCTACCTGCACATGTTCCTTTAAGCCAGCAGCGTTGACATGGCCCAAGCACCTCAAGGTCAGATGAAGGAGGCCGGCTGCTGTGGCCCCCGCCCAGCAAGTGAACCTCTACAAAGCGGAACCCACGTGAGAGGAGGCGGATCCTGGAATCAACTCGGGGCCTTCTTTCGGGCTTAAGGGTTTAGGGTTTAGGGTTTAGGGTTTAGGGTTTAGGGTTTAGGGTTTAGGGTTTAGGGTTTAGGGTTTAGGGTTTAGGGTTTAGGGTGTCCGAGCCTCTTGGAACCGGCCCCGCCTTTGAGTCCAGGGCGCATCGATCACAGAGGGGGCCGCCAAGCGAGGCTAGGGGTCCGGCAGCTTTGGAAATGGTTGCGCGGTTGATCATCTGGGAATAGGGTTCGCGGACTTCTGGGTGCAAGGCTCCGGGCATCGTGATGGTCCAGGGTGTTACTTGCCCGTCACCCCACTGCTACACCCAGCTGATCAACCGGGCGGGGTCGGCCTAATCACCTGCGCCACGCCCCCTTCAAGAGCACTGCTGGCGTGAGGGCAGAAACTTTGCAAGGCGCAGGGAAGGACGGAGTTAATGGAAAGCTGCTTGGTTAGGCCAACCTCGCCGCAGGGGTCCGGGGATCGGTATGGCTGAGCACCGACCAAGATGCTAGCCTAGGGCCTCTAGGGGTTCGATTAGGTCTGGAGTTCCTGAAATCATTGGCGAGATGCACACAGGGGAGAGCTTCAGAAATGTCGTGGTGTTGGCATTTCAAGCCACCTGTATTCGGTGAGTGATCTTTACTAAGGTCGAATATAGGCCTCTACTCTACATAAACACCACTCAGCATCTCACAACCTGGCCGCGCACGGCCCGCTGCGACGAGGATGGCCCTGTCAAAACTCATGCGACTCATGCGCCACTATGCATGTGAGAGGATGGTGGTGGTCGCCACTCACCCCGCTCTTCAATCTTTCGAGCCTGGTCGGAAGCTGACAGGGAAGTCCCTACACGCCTCTAGGCTCTCCATTCGGGCCGAACTTCCACGTCAGCTCGGCATGGCTCGGCAGGATCGCAAACGGGCAATGCAAGGAGTCCTGCCAAATCTCGCGACGCATCTACGCGCCGGCTGACAAACTGGGCCAGGGCTACTCGTACAGTGGCCCCGGCCCTAAGAGAAATGGCCTCCAAGTTCTATAGCTTTCTTTTGCAGAACATGGAGACACCTGCGTGCAGTGAATTGTGGCAGCTGAACTTCTGGATGCAGCCGTAGACAGGCGCCCGCAGGACGCTTTGCAGCCTAGCAGCCCACCTCTGCCTCGAGGCCCGGGACCTTCCGGTGCTGACTTTTGCAGGTGCAGCTGGGCATTCTCGTTCGGACGAGCCCGTGAAGATGTGCAGCCAAGACCGAAAATAAAAACCCGCATCCGGTAAACCCACAACGACCCCAGGGCGCAGCATCTGAGAAGGCTCATCTTGCCAAGATGCCATTTCGTCTTGGGATGACTCCCGGTGTCCCTCCAGCTCTAGAGATTTTGAGGGTTTTGGTGCTGAGGCCTTTAGTAACTTTAGTATTAAGGGGGGCCCCCCCGGCCCTAACCCTAAAGGATTTTCGGGAACCCCTTCTGACTAAACCTTCGTCACTGCAGCCTTCGTCCTTCATCCTCTATTGGAGTTTCAGAATGCAAGCAGAAGTCCTAAGTTCCTTGATATGGTCGCAATTGCATTCTAAGTGCCCCTTGCGGCTTCGGAATGGCAGATGTTCGGGCAGGAAGCACCGTTTGTCATCCCACTCAGCAGCGTGGAACAATACCAGGGCTCTGTCGGGAAGAATCTGAGAAAGATCCGCTTTCATTGAGCTTCGAGTTTCAGGGTTTGGGGTTCCTCTGCTTCGTGAGGTCCCTTACCCCCCCCCCCCCCTAAACCCTAAACCCTAAACCCTAAATAACTGGTGAGGCTAGACAAAGTGTTAGCAGTCTGCAAGTCAGCTCTTTAGTGTCAGTGGTGGCAGGCTGCCAAAGTACGAAAGCATCCAGCACTCCCACGAAGTACCCAAGAAATGGCTTTCAAGACCGCCACAGTACTTGCTTGTGGAACCTCTGAAAAAAAGGGGCTTGTGGCCCCGTAAAGCCCTAAACCCGAAACCCTAAACCCTTTTGACCCCGCGAGTTCAAACCCTAAACCCTAAACCCTAAACCCTAAACCCTACACCCTAAACCCTAAACCAATCACAGAACCCCCTGCAGAGCCAACTGGGGACATCTTCCACCTTCCGCAAGATGCCCCGCAAGGGGGAAGGGGAGCGCCTCTAAGGGTCTAGGGTTTAGGGTTTAGGTTTTAGGGTTTAGGGTTTAGGGGGGCTTTAGGGTTTCAGGGTTTCGGGGTCCTGAATAATTAGAAGAGGGTTTTGGGTGACTTACTATCGTATAACGTGAGGGAATATTAGATTTAATTCTTCCGACCCCCATAGTAGGGTTTGGGGTTCAGGGTTTGGGGGTCTTGCTGTGGTGGTTCTTTTGGGTCATCACAAAAAGCAGCCCCCAAAGATAGGACCTACGGAAAAGCCGGCCTTGGGTTCCCTAAGGTAAGGCTTTTGCCCAACACCCACAGGTTGTGCTGCCCTGCGAGGCAACTCGGCCCGTCCCCCTGCAGGCGTCGTGCACGATTCTTGCCGTCACTCAGCTCAGGACCAGCTCAAGTCTCTGCGCCCTCTACCACATGGAGCAAACTCCAAGGCTCTAAAACAACCCTAAACCCTAAACCCTAAACCCTAAGCACATTTGAGTGGACAGCCTCGTGGCCCTCACTCACAAAGGTTAGGGTTCCTGGTTTACCTCTAGGCTTCGACGTGAATGCTTTGCTTGGAGGTGTCCTGTTTTGCTGGGAGCTTAGTAGGGCTTGGGCCTGGACTTGGCCAAAGCCACGGCCCTTGCCTTGGAACCAAGGTTGCACCCATCGGAAGTTGGTGAACATTCTGAACAAATGAATGCTTACGTGTGCTGAGGCTTACAAATGTTTCAACACGAATCTAGCTCATCATTGCGAAATATGTTCTCTGTCATAGCAACAGCGGCTCGCTCTGGACCCTTGCCAAGTGGACGCGCCGTGCAGGCAGCTCGCCTCATCCCGACCGGCTCCTGCAAATGTCCAACGTTGACGGCTAAGGTCGGCCCGATGTACATCGCTCTCTCGCCCTCGCTCCCCCTCGCTCTCTCAGGCTTGTGAGCCGTCCCGCGCGTGCTGCAGGAAATTTGAGTTGTCAGGTTGGACAAAAAGGCAGCTAATTCGACCGCACCTTGCAAAAAAGATCAGCACTAGGCTTTCGAGGGGCGTCCCCAGATGCAAGCGAAGTCATCATGTTCACCAACAGCCCGGCGTAGTCTGACATCTCACAGCCGAAGATGCCAATCTAAAGTAGCAAGTACAGGGGACGCCGGTACAGCGAGGCTGTTGGAGTGATTCTACCTCACTCCAAAGGACGACAAACTGTGCGCGTGTGCGACTTTAAGCAATGGGCATAGGAAGAAGCTTCGGGTTAAAGCTGAAGGCCAAGGACTGGGCTTACCTCGTCGTCTCACTAAACCTCAGAGAGGGACCTAAGTGCAGTAAGTAAGGCTTATTCCCTTCCAAGAACCCGCTAAGTAGCTGCCGCCCCACTCTCCCCAGCATACCATTGCCATCGGCCTTATGAAGGCCAGCACCTACGGCACAGGCATTCCACGCATGCATTCTGCATGAAGGAGCGAGCGCGATGCTGTGACACTGTGCATCCGCGCAACGAGCCAGCCAGGGAGTCATCAGTACCCGAAGCTGCCCCTTCTAGCTACTGGTTTAGGGTTTAGGGTTTAGGGTTTAGGGTTTAGGGTTTAGGGTTTAGGGTTTAGGGTTTAGGTTTAGGGTTTAGGGTTTAGGGTTTAGGGTTTAGGGTTTAGGGTTTAGGGTTTAGGGTTTAGGGCCAACCCACGGAAGCCCAAACCCGATGAGCAGAGGCTTTAAGCCTGAAAGCACCTGCTGAAGCCGCTACAAACCTCGGACTCCGCCAAGCTCCCTCTGACCCTAAACCCTAAAC